GCACAAGGCATACCAGCTTGTCAGAATGAGAACAAGCCAAATCACAAAAAGAAAAACCTTGACTGCACCATGAGAGAGAAAAAAATTGAATTACCAACCTTTCGACTTTAAAATTCAGAATTTTCAAATTAGACAATGTTGTATTTTCCTATTTACTTTTCACACATCTCACGATCTTGGGAATTGCCCCCTTATATACAATGTTAGTGTATTCAAAGCAACAAGAACACCTCTCATGGCCCTGGACTTTTTTTTTTTTTTTTTGGCATATTCAGCATATTTCCTTAAGGAGGGAGGTTTTCTATGAATATATTGTTTAGGATGTTCTAGACCTATGTGTCTGTTTCTCACAAAGCAGTATTCAAAGTTTCAAATCCAAATTGAACATCAGGGTATTGTAAAAACAAGTACTAATAGTCATATAAATTCTTCCGTATTAACCTTTATAGATTTAAGGTTGTCACTTCACTGAACATAATGCAAGTGACTCAGTCCAAACTATTAAGTTTAATGCTTGGATATAAAAAATCAGATGAATGAACCATAACCTTGCAGCAGCACTTAATAATTCCAACTACGGGGATTTCTGAGAGAGCCCTTGGGCAGAAAAGGCTTGAGGGGCTAAGTGCCTGACCTCAGAGGAGGCAATAGGGCCAGGCAAAGCCAAAGAACATTGGCTCTCCAGAAGCCCTACGAGCTTTACTGCTGGGATGGGCTGGGTTGCATGGAGGTTGTGAACATGTATATAAATATTTGCCTTCTGTAATTGAGCATAATTTGAAAGAGTCTTGGAAGGCTGAGAAACAATTTAATTTTCTCTGCACCAGGAGACTTGCCACTGAGTTTTCATTTCCACATCATTTTTCTTATCCACAAATGACTTTTCTTCTTTATTCCTCCCATCTCTTCACCACCCGTACCACCAATTTTCTTGCCCTTGTCATCATTGAAATCCCCCAGCTTGTGTGAATACATATTGTGCTTGTCTTAATGGTCATGCTGCGTTTGCTCCCAGGCATCCAATGTAAGCACTTTGGGGAGGGTTTGTGTTCAGCCTTCTTGAACCTCATGTAGAACTTCATGTGCACTGACAAACTTGGCATGGAGAATAGAGAATGACTTTTCATTAGGACTTAGTAGACAGGAACTAACAGAGAGCTATTGTAGGACAGAAAATCTCACTACTTTTCTGACATCGTTTATAGGTCTCCTTCAGCCGGTCAATCTCTCTGACATCTTCTAACTTGGTGCATGGAAAACCTCTGATATTCTTGTCTTTTTTCCTCTCTCCCTTTCTCTAACTTCAAATCGAGAATCTGGGAATCAGCATATCCCAACTGATACCTAAGGCCTACTTTCCTAAGAAACCTTCTGTTTTCTTCTGGGGAAGGTACAATTTCCCAGAAGGTACAAGCCTGGGAGGTATTCTGTACAAAGAATATTTGGCTTCTCAGACACCGACTGCATGAGAAATGTTTTACACATGATGTGAGTTCAAGGTTGGCCCCAGAGCTATGTGATTGAGAGCCTACATGTGGGAGGACCAACTAGATGTTAAATCTTTTTAGTTTAGGTCCTGGAGGATTACCCTTTATAGAATGCTGTACTACAGCCCTTATTGCATATGAAGCCAGGTATGATGGGTGAATGGAAGGCTTTGTGAGTTCTTAGATCTGGTTGCAGTAGCACCCATCAGCCTTAATTCAAAAAAAAAAAAAAGAGGCCTACAATGCTAGTCCTCACAAAATCAACAAATTATCATCACCCCTTTTCTTCTCAGGCTTTTTGAAACTACCACAATTAGGGTTATGCTATTGTCCCCTCCTCAGATTTGGAAACACTCTTCTAGAAGGTAAATAACTCTACTCACAATGGGTTACTGTGACCCGAGTGCCACTTAATTATGGTTTTCTTTATTCCTTGCTGACTATGGAGAGGAGAACTGTAATAAACCATATACAATAAAAGATTAATTTATTTTTTAAATCCTACAAAACATAAAGTCAGACTGTCACCTCCCTAGGATAAAAGCAGCTGTCTTTTCAGCATGCTATGTATCTTGGAGAACCCAATGTCTGTCTCCTGCTAGGATATGATTTACATTCTCTCCATCTGCTAGAAACCTAATTATAATGGGAATCAAAATAAAAACATTTCCGGAATTCTTTGAACACCCATAACTTTGCTACACTGTCTTCCCATATTATTTTCCACATAATTCCTCTCAGCTCAGTGAGAATCTTGGTGTTTTTTTTTTGTTTTGTTTTTTTTTTTTTTTTTTTTTTTTGGTTGGGTGTTTTTT